CGCTCAAGCCTTGCCACTGGAGCCGGGGGAGGAAGGAGATCAGTGACAGAGCTGGGGGGGAGGGGATCGATGGGCCTGGTGGCTGGAAGTCGCTCAGGCCTCACTGCCAGAGCCGGGGGAGGGAGGAGATCGGCGACAGAGCTGGGGGGGAGTGGATCAATGGGCTCGGCAGCTGGAAGCCACTCAGGCCTCGCCGCCAGAGCCGGGGGGGGGACTTACCTGTGGCCGCTTCCTCCTCAGCCCTGAGGTCCTCCTGCTTCCTCAGGAGGGCAGCCGGAGGAAATACCCCCCCCGCAAGTATCGCAGGTCCCTCTTCTTGTGTTTATCTAATTCCCTTTTCAAGCCGTCCATGCTTGTAGCTGCCACCACCTCCTGTGGCAGTGAATTCCATGTGTTAATCACTCTTTGGGTGAAGAAGTACTTCGTTCTAACCCGACTGCTCAGCAATTTCAGAGAGTCATTCATTGAGTCATTCAGTACCAGCTGAGCCACCCATAGTGTGTGTAACATGGAACTGTATCACTGTGGCCCATGGTGTGCACACTTAGATCACAGATTGGGAGACTTTGGTGGCAGGAACCTCACAGAAGAGGTACTTTGCAAAACAAAGGCACTCTGAGCCCAAACAGCCAGGGCATATGTTGTTATATTTGCCTAACACTACTCTGTTCAGAAACTTTATAGGTACTCCAGCTCAAGAGACAGACACCAAAGGGGAAACCCTGCTCTCCCTCATGGGTGTGTGTGTATGCAAGGACAATACACTCCCCCCCACACACGCACAAAGGTAAGCAAGGGGAAGCCCCCTCCTCAAAATGGGACTGTTGCAACCATCTTCCCCTCCTTCCACTCCATACCTACTCTGTGTAACAAGTGTGACTCCTGAAAGTGTGACTGTGGCTAACAGTAACTATGTACAGTGCTGGGTGTGTGTGCAGATGTGCTGGCATTCCAGTACTGTGCTGCCAGCATGACACCATGTCAGTCACCCCTGTCCCTGCAAGTGGAGGCTGGTGACCACCAACCACCACACTCTGATCTGTGCTACTGCTGACCAAGCCAATTGTCTTGCAGGTTCAGAGTTCTGCGGAGCAGCCTAAGCAGACCGGGCAGGCTCAGTTCCACTGCAGTTCCATACAAGGCATGGGTATGTGCTGGCTCAGTGGTTACACTATGTACCCCACAAGGGGCAGCCCACTATGTGGGGACCTTCTCCAATGTGAGGAGGGCGGAGCTGTGAACATGCTAGAGCACCATATGCAGACCATTGGAGCTCTTCTTGTTTCTGTGGAATATTTCTCATTGTTCTCCTTCTGTCTCTTTGGACCCTGTGCAGGCAGCCACCCAACAGGGCAGGGGCCAGGAAAAATCGTATTCCCTGTGTGATTCCAACCACCTGCCAAGGCAACAGCTTGACTGACAGCTGCAGTGATGAGTGTCCATTTGGCTGCTCTGGAGTGGGTTGCCACTCTCTCTTGCTCTGGCTCAGCTCCTGCTCGACTGGCACACTTTCCCCACTCAAGGGCATGTAGTGACTGAGACAGCTCTACCTCTGACTCTGTGCGGCTTGTCAGTGTAATGTGCAAAGGACAGAAGCCTTTACTAGAATGAGAGGGATGGCAGCCCCAGTCCTCTGACTTGTTTCTGTGTTCCCCATCCTGTTCAATAAATGTGTAAACCACTCTCCAGCTGTATTTGTGTTTAATTGGGGATCAACAGATCAGGCTCAGTTCCACCTCCTGCTCATTCCTAACGACAGCTGCCTTCAGCTTGGACTTCTAATGCCAGGAGGGGGTTGAGGGAGTGGTCTCAGTGGGTGCAGATGGACATGCTCTTGCAAGAGGGAGGAGAAGGGTCTTCAGGTTGCATGCTGCCCCGGAGCACTGCTGGCATCTGATAAGGCATAAAGAGGTTGGGGTGGAGATGGACCAAGCACAATGGCAACACAAGCAAGGGGGGAAACAGGCAATGACAACCAGCCTCAGGAGCACAGGAGGGAGATGGTGCTTGGGGACTTGATGGGCAAAATGATGGGCATGTAGAGCTGCCAATCAGGACGAGAGATCCAGTCCCCTCCCAGTGATGTCTGATGGGGCCAAATCTCCCATGTGATCAGGAGTCCAACTGGACTGCTGTAGGGCTTATGTGGGAACTGAACTGGTGACTTTGGGTATGCTATGCCTGTGCTTTTTCATTGCACCATACCGGTCTCTGCAGTCTCCCCTTGCCCTACTTCACCTGAGTGGTGCTGACAGCAGAGATGCCCAATTCCTTATACTATGTCTTATTATCCCCATGTGTCTGGTTGGCAAACTGCTCCTAAGTGTCAGAGGTATGGGTTTGAGCCCAGCATCTCCCTCCTGTTTTGCTGCTGCTGGGCAAAAGGTGAACTTTGCCTTCCGGCCAACATCTCCCTCACTGGGAATCGAACCCACACCCATTTGCCACATGGGTGCCTTTTCCCAGTGAGCTGCAGGATGGTGGTAGTGGCGATGGAACTGCTGTTGGGGGAGGGTGCAGTCATGTATTCCCTTGTTGCTGTCCTGATGTCTCCATTCCTCTTGGCTGACAACAGACTGGTTGTCCCACATCCCACCCTGTCCAGAGGGGTCTTGGGCAGTCTATGAAGACTGCCTGGCCTAAGTGAGGTGATCATGCATCCTCCCCTGCATGTCCACCTAGTAGAAGGGATCTTAATTGCAGGTGGGGATTCAAACCCATGTCTGCTGAGCTCAGTGGAGTATGTTGTGCCACAGAGCTCCTTATGTGGGAACCTGTTTTCCCTGTGTTCTCATCCCTCAGTGTAGTCCACATATGGGTGGCAACGGTTTGACATCAGAGGACCATGGCTATGTTGTCCCACAATGGTTTGTTCAGCATGTGCCACTCACTCATGGAGGCAGTGGTAAGCAAACTGCTCCAAAATGTGTGGGTGCTGGCAGGCTTGTTACAGACGCTGCTATGATCACTATGCTGTGTACAGCTTTCCGAGGGATGTTTCTGTTGCCTTTTCCCCTCTGCAGCCACAGAGCAGCCTTAGGGTGCTGATTAGTACTGCCAGCAGCATGCTGGCTTTGGGAGTCTTAGGCTGGGGCTTTGGGGGACTTGGGAGCCAACGGTGCTAGTGAAAGCCCCAGTGGACAATATAGCTTTCTTTTGCCTTGCCATAACCCAACTGACCAAGCTCCTTTACTTTTTGCTAAACATATTCATTAAAGGCTTGGAACATATATGTAGGGTTTTACTGAATCCCCTGAAAGGACTTGCACATGTTTGGACAGAGGTACTCTACTGCAAATGTAAATAGCCCCAATCAAATGAGACAAACAGTGGGACACATCCCATGGTTTCATCTAGCCAGGTAGCAAAAAAATGGAGGCATTTGAAAATGCCTGCAGTGAATCAGCAAAGAGCTGGTGATGATTCATGCCACATTATTTTCCCCATTAATTTCAATTTTTTGCAGAGCAATGATTTGAAATCCCATTTCCAGCTGCTCTTATGTGGTTCTCTGCAATGGTGGCATAGCAACCAATACTTCCAGCAACTTAGCTCTAAGATTCTTTAAGAGGATATTATGTTCAGCCAAAGGGGTGCAATGGCTTGGCTCAGGGAAATCTGGGGTCAAACCCAGCTCAGCCATAAAGACAGACCAGCCCTAAGCAATGTTCCCTCTAAGCTGTGGAGTCTGGTGAGCAAAAATTCTACTTTGTGAGCTACTGGCATTAAAGTTGTGAGCAAGCTGTTTGGCTACTGCATACATTAGTTTGCTTTGGAGCCATCCTTCCTGAGCTAAGACCAAAATGTGTGAGCCGGAGGCTAAAAAACTGTGAGCTAGTTCGCACTACCTCAGCTTAGAGGGAACATTGGCCCTCTGCTATTCTACTCAGTACCAGGGCTTACTGTAAGGAAAATGTCCTGAGGACTGCTCTGTAATTGACTTTGGGCACAATAAACCCTCTGAGCTCCCTACCTATAGATAAAAATGACTATCTTGCAGAGTTGTTCAGCGGATAAGCAACTATTATAGAGTATCCCAGAATGTGCTGTAGAGATGGCAAACTGCTCTTTCTTCTTCAGCTACCTGAATGAACTGGACAGGATCACAGGTCCCAATTATCTTCCCACTGAACAAGATGTACTGCGATCACGAGTTAAGACCACAGGTATCATAGAGACAAGATTCTCTGTCAAAGACCTCAACTTCAGGTGAGCAAAACTCCTCATTCTCTAACTAATTAGAACTATGCCAGTTGTTCTGGCCAGTTTTCAACATCCATAATTAATCTGTGTGGATTTCACATTTGATGCTATAATCTACATGCCTTCATCCAAAAAGGTACATGATGCATGTAAACAATCATGATGGGTATGCAGTGAACTTAAGTTTCAAATGTAACATTTCACTTAAACTACTTTACTAAGGAACTGTGCTGCCTCTCTGTATGTGAGTTGGATAGTACTAAATATATGCCACAAATAATGTTTTTCCTTCTGCAGGATGTTTGATGTGGGTGGACAAAGATCAGAGCGCAAGAAGTGGATCCACTGCTTTGAAGGAGTGACCTGCATCATTTTCTGTGGAGCTCTCAGTGCTTATGACATGGTGTTGGTTGAAGATGACGAAGTGGTATGGTTTTAGCTCAAATTCTATGGGATTAAATATTGGCCCACTTCCAAGTGTGCCTGCCTCTGCCTATTCCCTGCCTTGAAGTGAATCCCCAAATTAAAACTCAGTAGGAACAAAGCTGACACCCAGCAGAGACAGATGTATATCACCCGCACACACACACACACACACTGATGGGTTAAAGCCAGAATCTCACACAACCTACTAGCAGTTGTGCTCCCAGGTAGCAGGAGAGAGAAATAGAGTGGGTACCCTCAGGGCACTTCAGAGTTTGTTTGTGCTGTTCTGACGCAAGCCCAGGAAGCAAAACAATAGTTGCCTGGCACTAACTTAACCCTGGTCAGAAAATAGAAATCTCTGCAAGCAGTTAGAATTTGGAGCTAGGATTAATTTGCAAAGCACAGCAACATCTAAGAACCAGTTAATTCCAGTCCTCCACATGCATGTAAGGCAGCCTACGTCAAAAATGACATCAAAATCAATGGGGCTCTTAAAAACAGAGGAATAAATAAATAATAATCCTACAGCGTGAGTGGGAAACACATTTGCTCAGTTTCTTTAAGACAGAGAACCAGCAAGATACTGATGCTTACATAAGGAGGTGTGGGTGGGGAGCACTTCTCCACTGTCCCGTGGTCTGCATACTTCACACTTCACACCCTTGGATGTGATTCCTTAAACGGAAATGTTATCTTCCGTATAGATGCAAGAATGAAAGTGGGGGAAAACCTGAGTACACGACACAATGCTGTGATCTAAAGCAATACTGGTCTGGATGACCTGTTCTCAAAGAAAGTAGCTATTGAGCAGCTGTTTGTAGGAGGAAAGCTGCAGATTCCATTCCAGAAGACACAATGATAATTATGTGCGTAGATGGCTTAAGGAAGGGAATTAGGCAGATTTATGGAAGATAGATCTATCCAGTGGCTCCTAGCTGTGGTGACTCAAGGGAACCTCCAGATGCACAGAACCATTGAACACCAGTGTATGAAGGCAATATCAGGGGAAGGCCTTGGCCTTCATAGCCTGTTTGTTGGCCCTCTAGGGTTACTGGTCAGCCACTGAGAGAAACAGGATGCTGGACTACACGGACCACCTGCCTGATCCAGCAGGACTCTTCTTGTATTCTCAGAAGTATTTTTCATCATGTCTTCTACCATTTTCCCTTAGAAATCATACCCAAAGGGGGAAATAATAGCATAGCTAACTGTACAGAATTTTAAATGGCAAGCTTTAACCCCCTCACCTGATTGTAGACTCTGTATCAACAGCAACAAAAAGAGAGAATAGAGAAAGGGGAAGATGGTTTGGCAGAAAACCATCAGCTGTTTTCTCCTAGCCAAATAAAACCAAATGTAGTCTGAGCATAAACAGACCAAAAAAAAAATCACATACTTGCAGAAGATGAAATTGGGGGGGGGGGGGAGGTACTTGGGTGCTTCCACCCACTCAAGGATACTTTAGACTTCCCTTAGGTATGGGTTTGTCTTTTTTATTAAAAGAAATTCCTGTAGGGGAGTAAGCAGAAATTGCTATCAAACTCTTTCCATGATCAGGAAATAGAAGAGAAAACCTTACAGAGTAAACACTTTCTAAGGCTCATTCCTTTAATCTATGCTGTTGCAACATAGGAATTAAAATGTTGGTTAAAACAGTGGTGGGGTGGTGGTAGGACACTGGACCTAGATTTGAGACACCTGTCGATTTAGTCTCAAGCCTCTAGTGCACTGTTTGACCCTGAAGAAAGTATTTAAACTTGCCTTGAGTATTTGCATGTGTCTTACCTAAAGTAAAAGGCTGCTTGGCGTAGAAATAGCAAGGAGCTTCAACATAGTCAGGCTATTTGTTTAAAATCAAGCGCCATTGTAATTAGACTCCTAGAGTAAGGAAAGCCAAAAGGCTAATCAAGAGTAGAGCCAAATTGCTCTGGTAAATATTTGCTCAGGTTGCAAAACAAGTGGAAGGCCATAAAAACATTTTGCAGTTTATTTTACAGCATTTATAGTCCACCTTTCCCAGTAAGTCTCGGCAAGTGTTCCTGTCTTTTTTACTAGAACAAAGCTTGAGTCCAGTGGCACCTTTACGACCAATGAAGTTTAATTTTGCATGCACATGAAAGCTTATAAACAGTATTAAACTTTGTTGGCCTTAAAGGTACCACTGGACTCAAACTTCATCTTTTTTACTGTTACATTCCTACCTCATAGAGTCACATGGCATGCAGTGCAGGGAGATGTGACTTGAGTAGGAACCCAAGGAAATAGTGGACCTCCCACCCAATACCAACTTAAGCGTCTTCAATTTCTGCAAGAGCATTTTTGGGTTTAATACATCATACCAAGTCTCATATTTGCTGTTAGCACTTATTTTTTTCTCCCCCTCCCCATTATTACTTCCTCTACCTTTTAGGAAAGCTTTCTTTTAAGCATCTGTTGGTTGGACCAAGGAGACCCAGGTCCAAATCACCCCTTGCCATGAAACTTTCTGAGTAACCTTGGGCATCACCCTCCCTCAGCCTGACCTACCTCACAGGGATGTTTAAATAGTTAGGTATGCCAAGCACCCACTCAAGGATGCCTTGAACTCCCTTTAGGTGTACCTCCAGCTGCATGGAAGCTGTTCTTCTGCAAGATGATCCCACCTGGCTAGGGGCTGCATCTGAATATCACGACTGCAGGGGGAGGGGCCACTTGGGGATGATTGCACTATACCCATCTCTGCAGTCTTCCCTGCACTGTTCCATGTTTTCAAAAGTGTATGGTCTCTCTCTTCTAGAACCGCATGCATGAATCTCTGCATCTGTTCAACAGCATATGCAATCACAAATTCTTTGCTGCCACCTCCATTATTCTCTTCCTGAACAAGAAGGACCTCTTTGAGCAAAAGATCAAGAAAGTACACCTCAACATTTGTTTCCCAGACTACGATGGTAAGTTGAGCAAGACTTCCATTTCGTGGAAGCTGAAACTATTAGAGCCAGGGGCCTCTTCGCTCAGCATTTCCCTTATATGAATGTACAGTGGTGCAGAAACAACACTGGCTTTAGCCAATGCACCACCAACAGAATTTCCCTTTGACCCTATAAAGATTACCCCGCCAACTGGGACAAACAGCTGTGTGGGTCAGTGGCTGCTCTAAGGGAAAGAAGGTGAAACCACCTCTCTTCACTCTTCTGTCAGCACAGCTCCACCCCTTCTATTCATTGGACTCAAGCACATACATTGATGAACACCATCATGCATAAAATGTATATTTTTATCACATACTCATTGGAACCTCTCTATCTACAACAACCTCAGCACTAAGCCACCCATCACTTCTCCCCCAGGTGCAAACTTGGGGGGGGGTGATACATTGCAGGCTGCTACAGAAAGGGAAGCTAAGGAAGTCACACTCCACAGGTGAAAGTCCTTGCTTCCATGGGAATGCTGCACTGGATCTCACACAATAATCTGAAACAAAATTCCATGGGTACCTACATTTCATAGACGGCCAGAGTCCTCTGATTATAAAACCACTTGCTGCACCAAAGTCACCATAAGTGGTAAAAGCATATCCCGTGGGGAGGGGAATAGAGAGGGAAGGTGCTCCAGGGAAGTCCTTGCAGGTCTCTTCCCACCCAGCAGCCATGCTGACACCATACAACTTGGCCAGACTGTTCCTGGGGAGTGGATAAAGGGGGAGGGAAGGTGAAGACAGGGGGAAGTCAAAGGGCTGGCTGGCGGAAAGGAGAGAAGAAAACAGGAAAAGGACCCAAGGCTAAGGTGGCTTTCAGGAAAGGGATAAAAGAAATAACAGAGGAAAGGAAAATGAAAGGCCCTCTCCAAGCCCCATTTGTTTTATATGATACTCATGCACTGAAAGGCTCAGATCGAGGTGTTTATTCACCATGGCATGGACGAACATGAGCTTTTAAACAAGTAAGATATCTTTCAGCAACAACTTGTTTATCTTCTCCCTTGTTTTCCCTTCTACAAACAGGCCCCAATACATACGATGATGCAGGCAACTACATCAAGCATCAGTTCCTTGACCTGAACCTGAGAAAAGATGTGAAAGAAATCTACAGTCATATGACCTGTGCCACAGACACACAGAACGTCAAATTTGTATTTGATGCAGTTACAGATGTCATCATCAAAGAGAATCTCAAGGACTGCGGTCTCTTCTAAGACTTCAGCTTTTTAAACAGGTAATTTTCATTCTAAGGAATATTAAAAGGTTAAGTTATATGTTGTAGCAACCTTCCCATGCGGGAACAAACCTCTGAAGCCTTTTATTCCGTGGGCTATACACAGGATGCTCTCTCCATTTTGAACAGAGAGATACTTGCAACTGATCTTGCACTTGAGTTTATTTCCATGCTTACAAATGTTATCCTTATGGTTCTTGTAAAAGTTCACTTGTTTCAAAAACAGTCTCAGTAACCTCAGAGTACAGTAAATTTTGGCTTAAACTTTAGACTCATTAAAACTTGCTCTGCTAGTGCAAGAGCCTGGCAAGTGTTTCTGAAATGGATGGTGAACTTAATCCTGAATTCCAAGGCAAGTTTCCCAACTTCCAAGCAGAAGAAACCTGAATCTTAGTATTACAAAATAAAAGCATTAGTCAAGAAAACTGTGTTGTATCCAGTGTTCCCTCTAAGCTGAGTTAGTGTGCGCTAGCTCACAGTTTTATAGCCTCTGGCTCACACATTTTCTTCTTAGCTCAGGTAGGAGGGCCCCAGAGCATACTGATTTATGCAGTAGCCAAATCGCTCGCTCACAACTTTAATGCCAGGAGCTCACAAAGGAGAATTTTTGCTCACAAGACTCCACAGCTTAGAGGGAACATAGGTTGTATCTGTGGTAGCTATGAGGTAGTCCTAATCTGCATGAGGATACATATGGAGACACAGTCTAAGTCTACAGAAATTGTTATGATTGTTCACACTTTACAACTATTTGGCACTGTAGTTTGTTACCAGGGTTTTACATATGATTTGTTCACAAAATTATCTTGTTCTGCCTCAGCACTGACAGAATCATTCATGCGTAGGTTTCTCTACCATTCCAGGAAGATTTGAAAATATTAATATTAGAAAGCAGTGGAAGAGTCATGCATGCAAATATCACCTCTAGGTCACAAATCAACCTGATAGTAGGCTATGTAGGAAGTTGCTTTCTGCCCCTCAAAAAACTGTTACAATCAGAACAGTCTCAAGACTGAGAGCCAGTGTGGTGTAGTGGTTAAGAGCACGGACTCTAATCTGGGAGAACTGTATTTGATTCCCCACTCCTCCACATGCAGCTGCTGGTGTGACCTTGGGTCAGTCATAAATTCTTTCAGAGCTGTTCTCTCATGATCAGTTCTCAAAAGAGCTCTCTCAGCCCCACCTACCTCACAGGGTATCTGTTGTGGGAAGGGGAAGGGAAAGGGATTGTAAACCGCTCTGAGACTCCTTCAGGTAGTGAAGGGTGGGGTATAAATCCAATCTCCTCTTCTCTCTATTGGTTAATGAGCTTTGAAGGTTTTACAGAGAACTAAAGTTGAAAAATATTATTTCAACTCCTTTATCAGGTAGTACCTTTCACTTATCGTTTAGAAATACCTGTTCTTTGTTTTGGAATCAAAATGTAATTTGATTTCTTTTCTCAAAATACTTTTTCTCCTGTTGTCTTCTTTTATTAGGAAAGACTTCCAGTTAGCTTCACTGTTCTGCTAAGCAGAGCCAACGGAGTAAACAAAGTCACTAAAGCAAAAAAGAGTCCATATTTTTCTATGACCCACCCACAACACAAACAGCATAACACCAAAAAGGTATGAAGGAACAAAGCTAAAAACCTCCCATTTTCCAGCCATTTTTTGGTAGCTTTCTTTCTTATCGAAGTATTCTGCAGTCTAAGTCTTCAAACCATTATTTGCAAGACAGCAAACACAGTCTGCAAACAAAGAATCAAGCATGTGATACTGGACCTTCATGTGTTTATGCAACCATGTTTTTAAAAAGCACATTTCTGTGGGAATGACATAACCAGTGCTTTTGTGGATTCTTTGACAGAACTGTTCAGTTCCTTATCTATAAATGGTCTGAACTGAGATTCTGCTGAGTGTGATCATAATGGGTTGAAAATGCAGGTCAGACATAATTCCTACATTGTTATATATTTGATCAACTTGCTAGTTTAGAAATAAGCACAGAAAATTAGATGGCATTTTTCAAACCTTCCAGTAAATACATTAATTGCAGTTCTCTGAAACTGGTGCAATTTGTCCCCACAGCCTTAAGTAGACAGCTCATTTGCTTTCTAGTGTCCAACTCCCCATAAACACATTAAGAGAATTTTGTGACCTGAGTGATTTACTCACCCCACAGAGAGCTCAGCAGTATTGATCCCAGCTCAATGCTTTATCTGTCTGCTGTGGAAACTATTTGCTCCACCTGTCTCACTAACCCCTGATACAAGAGGTCACAGCAATGTGCAAAAGAATATGATGGACATAGGGTTAGAGAACTTCTCCACACACATAGGAAATAGAAAGAGAAATGATACAACGTTGAAATGGTTATGTCAGCATTCTCACTCTGCTATTTAGAGCTGTATTTGTTCTTGACCATTTGTAAATACATCTGATGTTACTGTAGACAAGATTCTCTTTGTATCAATATTTACAGCAGAGAATCACTTATACAGCTTCAACTGTAGAAAATCCCAAAATAAAGAAATGCACATAAAAAGCATGGCTATGGTGTTTTGTTTTGAAAAGTAACTTAAAACATTTTAAAGTTCGGTTTTAGCTTTCAAAAGCCACCTGTTATATACATCTGCAAAGGCCTAATACAAGAACTAGTGCAGTCAATGGATAAGGCTGTATTTGAGAAAACTGGATTCAAACTGCAGGTCAACCATAGGCTTATACATTGGTAAGTTGCCACAACAAAATGAAACTTGCAGGTGTGAAACCATTACAGGATAAGCCTTACAGAAAGTTCATTCCCCCATATCTCAAGCAACAGCTTTCAGTGGAAGTCACCCTTTGTGAAATGTGAATACTTTACACAGTTGATGTGAGCTGAATATTCACTGCAAGCAGTGCAATGTGATTTCTTTTGTATTTCCAAAGTACACAAGGCAGAACACAGATACTTATTTTAATCAAAGAGTACCTTGCCATAGTACGCATGTAGATAAAAGTTAAGCTGATCATCTATCATCATATCAAGTGGCAAAGGAAATGTTCTCACTTTTCTCCTGTGATACTTAGTAACCCTTGCACATGGTAAAAAGTATTCTTGAAGGAGAATTTTATATACCCACTGTTATGACTTCTTCAGCAAGAGCTGGTAAAAATCTGGCCTCTGTTCTGACCTACTGTGTAAGCTGACCGATACAATGCAACTGAAACCTGGCAAATATTTCTCTAGAATACAAGCCACAAAAGCATTATAACTATACTAGCAGTAAAGCCCGTTGTGAAAGCAATACAACGAGATCTAGAAAGAGGCTCTGGGGCAGTGCTCTGGCTTTGGGCAAACAGTGTCAATTTGCTGTGGTGACCTCAGCAGGATATAATGACAGAGTCCACTGTTTTCTCCAGAGGAACTGATCTCTGCTACCTGAAGAGCAGTTGTAATTGTGAGTGATCTGTAGCCCTCACCTGGTGATTGGCAGCAATTGTTACCCAGGACAAAGTGGCTGGTTTGGAGGGTGTAGTCTATGGCATTCTACCTGTCTGAGGTCCCACCCCTCCACAAACCCCACCCTCTCCAGGCTCCACCCCTCAAATTCCCAGGAATTTGTCAGCATGTAGTTGGCAACCCCATCTCCTCCCCAGCTAACCATCAACCTACCCATTATCTGCCCCTTTGACTTCAGCTGACTTCTGCCCTCCCTTCTGCAGAGCAGTTGTAATACTGAGTGCTCTCCAGCCCTCACCTGGAGATTGGCAACAATGGTTCCCTATGTGGGACTGACTGGTTTGGAGGGTGGAGTCTATGGCAGTGTACCTGTCTGAGGTCCCACCCCTCCTCAAACCTCACCCTCTTCAGGCTCCATCCCTCAAATCTCCAGGAATTTCCCATCTGGAGTTGGCAACCCTATCAGGACTGGCCCCAATGTGTTTTCTCCCAAAGGCCAAAGTAGGTGACAGGACCAAGCTTAGTTGCCTACCAACAGGCACTGAGGGGAATGTAGGGTTGCCAGCTCTAAGGAGGGAAATACCTGGAGGTTTGGGGGGTGGATTCTGTAGAGGGCAGCATTGGGCAGG